CGTATGACGTCATCCGCGTGCCGGACTGGAGTTGTGACAGGCAGCCCGTGCAACAGGCAGCTACGTTCTACCCCTTCTATTCATTCGGCATCTTCCAGGCATGTGAGTAAAACTAGCAGCAGTTCAGCGGACAGGATGATTGAAAGAATGGTAGCCGGCATGCGCGGATGATGTCATACACACTTCACTTTGTTTTTAAAAGATATAAATATAAGTAATATAACCGCGGATGATGGGGGACAGTGATTCGGCTACATTTTATGAATGGTGGTGTACCATAAATGATCAATTATGAACAGTTTAGTTTGTGCCTTCAACTCGTTGCCTATAGGAAGACGTTACTTGGATATAACCTAACGGAATATCTTCAGAACAGCTCTGAATGACACAAAACTCATATGGGTAAATAGAACATGATGTAATAATGTAAAATCAAGGGCCCAATGTAAAAAAAAAACAAACAGTGTTCCCCTTTAAGATGTAGTGAAGCTTGTGCAATGCTGCTCCCTACATTTACTAGTCAATGTTAATGTTTTTTTCCCCGATTCTTTTTTGTTTGTTTAAACTTATAACTATAACATTTGTTATTGTGTAACTTTTATCATGAAAATAGTACTGTTCTTTAACAATATTGGCATCAGCTTTAAAATATCTCTATGGATCTCTAATTTAGTCATCTTCTTATACTCATTAAAACAATAAAAATCTGCCTCTCATTCTATAAAAAAAACATTTTCTCAATTTTCAAAATTTTTCCAAATGTTTGGTATTAGTTTATTTCATTCTGTAGTAACAACAGGGGGTGTTTTGGCACAAAGTGCAAGAAAAAAATCCCAAAAGACAGCTTCCTAAAAAAATTGTTTATTCCATTTCCCCAAAATAATGCTATAAGAATATGATAGATAGCTTTCTGTATATCAGGAGAAGTGGGTTGCTTTGGCTGAGCCTGACTCCTCACTGAATGTGTAACTTTTAGACACATAGAGGTCTGCATACAGGTTTTGTTTTAGATGGTAGAGAGAGACATTCTGTCAAAATTAAAGTGACCATTTAAAAAATATTCCCCCTCTATAATTTTTGCAACAATTTCCATCTAATTTCCATCTAACATATAAGTGGACACTTCCTAACGCATAGATAGGCTTGAATCTGAACCATTACACTGTAGCTCTAGTTGAATGTTTGGAGTTGTTGTCTTTTTATAAAGTTTATGTCCTGAGATACAGATTAAAAACATCTCCAGAGCAGAGGATGGTGGATGATTCAGATTTTAAGTATGATTGGAGCAGACAGGCTGCTGTGGTTGATGCTGCCTCTGTATTTGGTTACTCTACCTGCACTTTTAATTATTGAAGATTAGGGGATTGTTACAAGCCCCTTCTGAATTAAAACTGGGCTTAATTCATTTTCAGAACTTAACCACCGTGAAAAGCTGTAAATTATATATCTAGATAGCATATTGTAATATGATTTTTCTATCTCTGGCAGTTAAAAGATAGGATCAACAGAGTTTGGTCGGAATATATTCTACTTACATGTTTCCACACAGCCTTGGCTGCCAGTAAGTGGCTTTTAAATCATAACAACTATGAAACAATGCAATATTAATGCGGTCTCAGTCTGATTTCCCTGTTTTTTTTTTTTTTATCATACTATTGACTCTGCTTTTACGGTGGGTGGAGATCCCTTTCACCAGATTCCAGCAGCAGTCCTGCCAGAGGAGGACCCATTTAGCGTCAGGGGATGTAATCTACAGAAATAGTCTAGTGGCTATAAGACCACACAATGGAAATAAGCAAAAAAAAAAGCACCTCTAAGCAGATAATAATTTTCAAAATAGCTAATTTGGGTTTTTCTTTTTCTTCTTTACAAAACAAAACAGAAAAGTCTAAACCTGTTTATTGAATGGCTAAAACACTAGAGTTTCTTTTATTTAATCAAGAAGCCGAATCCTTTTTTTTTTTCCAACATCATCTGCAGTCAAGAGGCCTATATTCGATGTGAGGACAAGAGAACTTCTGAAAAAGTTAATGAAAAAGGACTTAAAGTGATGCTTTGATCAGCCAATGCAGCAGAGTGAAGGTGTGTAGAAAAGATTTTAAGTTGAAGGTCTCTTTGTTAAAACTCCAGCAGTAGCAGCAATCAAATGTCAAACATGGCAAAAAGTATAAAAGACCAAATTTTACCAATCCATCATTTAGTTTATTGGAGGTTTAAAACGTCTGCCACCATCACAAGTGTTAAAATAATGAGAAGTTATTACAGGCCTTAAGTAGAAGACAATATGTGATGGCAAGATGTGACTTAGCATAAAATGTACTATGTGTATATTTTGCATTAATTACTTTGTAAGGATTTTTTGTAAAATCATTTGCATCCAGCAAGACATTGTCCATCCAGTTAGTTCATAACCCTTGGAAAACATTTGCCAACAATCATTGCATTCCAAACAGTCTTTACAAAATAGTTCTTGCACACATCGATATTGTGATGAGGACATTTCCCTGGCGTATTGTGCAGCCTTAATCAACCTCTATGACATCATCTTTCCTGGGCTGCAAAGCTGATACAGGACAGCTTCCAAACAGAACATGGAACAAATGAGGCAAAACCCCAGAAAAAAAACCCAAATCAAGTCGAATTAACCTGCTAGAGTTTGGCTGAAATAATAGTTTTATGCATTTGCTGAACTTAGTGAATTTCTGAGAGAAGTTTCCAGCAAAAGTGTTTTCTGAGAGAAGTTTCCAGCAAAAAATGTTTTGTTTTCTACACATATACCCTGAATCATGAATTTCTTAAAAAAAGGCATATATTTTTTTTATTTAACATGGTTCAGTTGTGTCTATAGAGGCCTGATAAACCAGCCACCGACCCCCTGAAATGTAATACCAGGGTGACAGTGGCGTTGGATGTAGGAGATTGCCCTGAAATCGAAGGGTTGACGGTTCAAGCCCCGACTCCAACTTTC